TAATTATATATGATTATATATAATTCTATATAATTATATATGATTATATATAATTCTATATAATTATATATGATTATATATAATTCTATATAATTATATATGATTATATATAATTCTATATAATTATATATGATTATATATAATTCTATATAATTATATATGATTATATATAATTCTATATAATTATATATGATTATATATAATTCTATATAATTATATATGATTATATATAATTCTATATAATTATATATGATTATATATAATTCTATATAATTATATATGATTATATATAATTCTATATAATTATATATGATTATATATAATTCTATATAATTATATATGATTATATATAATTCTATATAATTATATATGATTATATATAATTCTATATAATTATATATGATTATATATAATTCTATATAATTATATATGATTATATATAATTCTATATAATTATATATGATTATATATAATTCTATATAATTATATATGATTATATATAATTCTATATAATTATATATGATTATATATAATTCTATATAATTATATATGATTATATATAATTCTATATAATTATATATGATTATATATAATTCTATATAATTATATATGATTATATATAATTCTATATAATTATATATGATTATATATAATTCTATATAATTATATATGATTATATATAATTCTATATAATTATATATGATTATATATAATTCTATATAATTATATATGATTATATATAATTCTATATAATTATATATGATTATATATAATTCTATATAATTATATATGATTATATATAATTCTATATAATTATATATGATTATATATAATTCTATATAATTATATATGATTATATATAATTCTATATAATTATATATGATTATATATAATTCTATATAATTATATATGATTATATATAATTCTATATAATTATATATGATTATATATAATTCTATATAATTATATATGATTATATATAATTCTATATAATTATATATGATTATATATAATTCTATATAATTATATATGATTATATATAATTCTATATAATTATATATGATTATATATAATTCTATATAATTATATATGATTATATATAATTCTATATAATTATATATGATTATATATAATTCTATATAATTATATATGATTATATATAATTCTATATAATTATATATGATTATATATAATTCTATATAATTATATATGATTATATATAATTCTATATAATTATATATGATTATATATAATTCTATATAATTATATATGATTATATATAATTCTATATAATTATATATGATTATATATAATTCTATATAATTATATATGATTATATATAATTCTATATAATTATATATGATTATATATAATTCTATATAATTATATATGATTATATATAATTCTATATAATTATATATGATTATATATAATTCTATATAATTATATATGATTATATATAATTCTATATAATTATATATGATTATATATAATTCTATATAATTATATATGATTATATATAATTCTATATAATTATATATGATTATATATAATTCTATATAATTATATATGATTATATATAATTCTATATAATTATATATGATTATATATAATTCTATATAATTATATATGATTATATATAATTCTATATAATTATATATGATTATATATAATTCTATATAATTATATATGATTATATATAATTCTATATAATTATATATGATTATATATAATTCTATATAATTATATATGATTATATATAATTCTATATAATTATATATGATTATATATAATTCTATATAATTATATATGATTATATATAATTCTATATAATTATATATGATTATATATAACCTCATACACAATTCCATATATAATCATATATGATTATATATGATTATATACAATTATATATGATTGTATAGAAACATTTTTTCTCGGGTATCCAATTAATAATTGCTCAACATGAAAAATATTTGAAAGCTAAAAAAATAGTGAGTAATAATCGCCATTCTTCATCATCTGGACAGCAAAAAATTAATGATTACAGGACTGATTCAAAAAAAACTATTCGATGTAAGCTCTTGTAAATGTATTGAATTCAGTATCTGCAATTGTCCAGAAAAAAAAATACATGTCACTCAACATGAATTTCTCGCAGATCAGAGAACTACACTCTTACGAAAAATCTCTCAACAATTTTTGAACATCCCAGAGCCGAATGATGAATATACAGAACGTTTACCTCGTAGTATCTCAGATTTAAACCAAAATTTGGTATCTTCAGACTTATCTTCTAATTCATCATTCAGTGAAATAAATTTTTCTCAGAAAAAATAAATTTTTCTCATCTCGTCGGAAAAATCCAATGTTCGACAGTAAATATCAATTTAATGTTTAAATTCTATAAAAATATGAATTAAAAGTAAAAATCAATGTATTAATTATAATGTTTCACTCTTTTTTTCTTTTTAATTCACTATTTTACTACTTCCTATTCTGAATTGTTGAGTTCTCTAACGAATTTCGATAGAAAAATACTATGCATTTGACTATAATTAGAAAACTGATTTTTATTGGAAATTTGTAATTATTATGAAAAATATTATAGGCACGTGATTCAATACAGACGAACCTCGATAAGTCGAAAACCTCCGCAACTCGAAGAAATGTTCCATCCCCTTCTCTTCAAGCCGTAAGACCTCCGCTGCTCGAAATTTTTACCCTCTACACGGGAAGAAAATTGAAGGAGTTATTACTATTTTACTATTGTAATTTTTACTAAATAAAATAGTAACGGTGGACTATACTTCTCATTTAGTAATTTTTACGATCTACTATTGTAAATTTTATCCAACAAATAAGACTAGCAAGAGTTTTAAAAAGTCGTATACTATAGAGCAAATTATACAATATGTGTTTGTGAACTTTACAATTCAACTATTGTAAAAATTCACAGTTGGTTTTTTTAAAAGAAATATTAGGGAGGGAGAGAGATAGAAAGTTGCACGAATTGGTACCTGTACAGTAATCGAAAAAAGAAACAAATATTTTCGTGCTACCTGGGAATCGAACCCAGAACTCTGTGTTGGTAGCCAGAGACTCTCCCTTTAGGCTATCCGCGGTAAACTAAGACCCATGTCCTTTAACATTTATATAAACTCAGAGTCTAGCGCTGTGCACGGCCATCACTCACACTAATTGAGAGACATTCCAATTCAACTATTGTAAAATTTGCTATAGTTCTATTGGAAAGATACAGAGGCAGCACTGGAAATTTTCATCTCTTACTTTTTACAATAGTAATATCGTATTTTTTCATTAATAAATAGTATTTTTTCTTCTAAAATATTTGATAATTAATAGTAATAAAGGTATAGTCCAGCTTTACAATAGTTGTATCGTAAATTTTCCCAGAAATTTTTTCCCGTGTATAAGTCAAAATAATTAGTAAGTAAATATATTAGTCCTACAAGCTATTTCTGTACATTTTTACCCTCCATAACTCGAATACATACACTTGGACCTCTTTATCTCGAATTTAAAATTATTACCGTATGTAAGTATCTTATTAGGATTACCAGTTCTACAAAATGGTAATAGAATTTACAGCTTATAAGAACTTTTTTTGTGAAAAATTAAATTTTGTAGACAATAATTGATTTATTAATCATTTTATACCAAGATATAATTCATTTACTGTCGAAAATGCCACTTTTTGAACGAAAATTAACATAATTTTAATAATTATCACTCGTAAAAAATTTTACAAAGAAACATTTTGATAGAAAATTTAATTTCCTGTCGAATGGAGAGCTTATAAATAGATTTTAAACTAATAAGATTATTTTAATGGCGAAAATCTACTATTTTAATACTAAAGTTGGAATTATCTCTGAATCTATGGGTCTTACGTAATTTTGTGTATAGAACTTTTATGTAGAGCATAAAATTTCCGATCAAAATAAGGTGATGAAAAAATTTTTTGAGCATTTTTATCTTTGACTGCAATCGGCGAGCCTGAGATGTTGACCAAAAATTTGTCCCTTTCACACAAAATTTTTTTATAACTCAATAAACAATATTTTTGCTATTACTAAACGAAATTCTAAAAAAGCAGATTTTCGGCCCACCCTACTATACAATACTTATACCAATCATGTTTAATATTTTCCTGCCAATGATGTTCCAAGATGTAAGCTAAATTTGAGGTTAGAATAGGTTTGGGTCTTGGAGTTGATACTTCTTCACCAAGCGTGCATTAAGCATATTTCCTCAATTTCCTCAAAACGTTTTAATCTTTGAATTTCATGGATTAAACATAACGCGACACGATCCGATTAAGATCTAATATTGAAGCAGAATGATTTATCATTATCTTTCTTCAGATGTCTCTTAATTTCTCAAGAAGTCAACTCATTCTCAAAATAGCTGTATTGGAACCGTTACTCTTGCAACGCTTGATTTCACATTTTGAAGTCCAGTGACGGGACTGAGAGACGTAATTGCTGGGTAACGTTTTGTCTTACTGCAAAGGCAATCGACTTTGAGTATAAGGTGCGTGTGTGGTCAAAAACTACGAGTCTTAAGAATGTACATGTCAGACAAAATTATTTCCTTACTTTCTCGCCGCTTTGATGTAGATCTTTGTTTTTCCTTACTGTGCCCAAGGTAAAATATAATATCATTTTGTGAAATTTTCTTTCTTTTGAATAAGCAAACAATTTCGGTAAATATAATAAAATAACAGTAATTTATGTCAAAATGATATTAATGAGATTTTAATATTGATAAATAGATAGATAGTTATTATGTCAAGATAATATTATTAAATAACAATAAAAAAATACAATGAAAATGTGCATTAATTAATTTAAAAATTTGTATCTTATATCTGTATCATTAATAAATAATTCATGCAGATAGCTAGGTTTATAAACGGTTAATAACTTACAGAAGTATCAAGTTAAATATACTGTAAAGCATCTATTTATTAAAAGTCAAACTAATTCACGTCTATAAGGTGTGATATGCTCATCACGTTTTAGACTGTAAATAAATCGTAAATTGTTAAACAGAATTTCGTGACCGTTGTAATTATCTGCAGTTCTCAAAGGTAGAATAACATAAAACTATAGGACAATAATAAATAATTAGTAATATAGTTGCTGACAACAACAATCTTAGTGGAGGGTGGGGCACGACGACCCCCTTAAACCGGTTATTTCTTTTTGTGGTTTTTAACCATCTAATTAGTTTATTTACCGTCTATTTCGAATAAATCAGTCGAAATTTTGCAGAAAATCAAAAAAAAATTTTTTTCTGGGTCACGACAGCCCCCTACCCGAAAAAAGCATAGGGGAGAGTAGGGCACAGCGGCCCACCCGGGGCACAACGACCCGGCTAAAAAATTAGGTAAAAATTTTTTTTTTTTTCATTTTCCGTTGTTATGACTTGTATAATGTTTTTATGATATTTTGGGCCGATATGTGATAATGTGGTGCATAATGAACCACTCGAAAAAAAATTCTTTTTTCTTTTCGAATTGTGAGAAATTTAAAGAATTAATTTTTTTAAGCCTTTTCAGGTCAATTGTATTTATCTCGGGTAAAATGAATAAGGAAAAAAATTTAATTCAACTGAAAAATTAAACAAAAAATTGAATTATATGATTGATAAAAAATTGAAAACACAGTTTTTTGAAATCAAAGCAGTAAGTTAATCGTATTATTAACTTCTATTTGAGTTCTTTCAAGGATCTATTACTCTATGCTATTCATATTTCTAATTTTGAATTAGAGACTCAACATGTGATTTCAATTAACGTAAACTATTGTAACCAATTATTTGCCGAATACCATCTCTGTACTTTTTCTTGTACACTGAAAAAAAAGTTTTCTGCTCCGCACGATACGAGATCACTACTATCACGATCTACACTTTACCATCTAGAGGAGAGTAAGGTTAGGAGACGTACGGACATCATCGTAAAAATAGTCAGGAAAGCTTCTTAGGGCTTCAAAACGTCGAGATCTGTTGAAACCTCGATTTTTTCAAAACGGGGTAAAACCAATAACTTCCCGATTGTTTGAAAATCTTCGATTTTCTTAGCGGGAAGTTAAAAAAAAACAAAAAAAAATTAAAATAAAGCAAAAAAGGCCAGTCAGTAGCCAAAATGGAAGTAGATTTCTCAAATAAAGAAGATTGATTTTTTATAAAATAATAATGATAATAATAATAATATATATCTTAATTCATTGATTAAAAAAAAAATTCAATAATAAATTTAAAACTACCCGGGAAAAAATGATCAGACCTGACCATTTCTGTTCATGTATTCTCAGGCCTGAAATTAGATATGATCATATCTGTTCATGCCTGTTCATGCCTGGAAGCGTTAAAATCGTCCAAGCCTGTTCATGTCTGAACAATTATAAACAGTCTATATGTAATTGAATCTACCCGGGAAAAAATGATCAGATCTGACCAGGCCTGTTCATGTATGATCAGGCTTGAAATGAGACCTGATCGTGCCTATTCATGTATAATCAAGCCTGAAATTAGACATGATCATACCTGTTTATATCTGTTCATGTTTCATGTCTGAAGCGTTAAATACGCTCGGGCCTGATCATACCTGTCCATGCCTGTTTATGCTTGTCCATGTTTGAACAATTATAAACAGTCTATATATAATTAGATCTGATCAGACTTGCATAGTCAGATGTGATCAAAATTTTTTCTTTGAAGAAAAAATTTCTTTTGGTAACCACCAAAAGTTCAAAATGATGTTTATCATTGCGTTTAAATAAAAAACTTGTTGCATTTCCTATGGGATGTTTTGGTCTACTCTGCTCCTGCCTAATATTAAAATCATTTTTTATTTTATTATTTAAATAAATGTGATGTTATAATGAGATTCGGTTGAATAAATAAATTATGATTATCAAAATGTATTATAAAATCAATTTTTATGTTATATTTATGATAAACTGATTTAATACGTTATGTACTTCACAGAGTTATTTTTATCTAAGATAGCAGCACAGCAGACAGAAACTTTAGGGCGCACGGAGATTACTAAAGTTACGCGGCATTGAGCATGGTTAGTAGGTGGATGGGTGACCGCTGATGTTACAGCTGTAAAATTATGTGTAAACATTTTTTTTTTTTGTATTTTAATTCGTTATAGAGAATTGCGTGTAACTCTATCAAGTACTATATCCGTAAAATTTCGACAAATTTTTTGTTTCGGTTTTTTTGGAATGACTCAAAATCTATCAAGTCAGATCGATTCAAATTTTCAGGAGATCTAAGTTGTGGAACCCTTTCTATTGCCATCAACCACGTTCTGATCAGTCAAGCCGTTCAAAAGTTATAAAAAGTTTACACACACACACACACACACACACACACACACACACACACACACACACACACACACACACACATGCGTCATTGTGTATTTCAATTTTTATAAAGTCTTAGTAAATAGAATTCACGAATTTCATTAAAAGTAAAATATTTTGCAACCACGCACACTAAATACGTTCCAAAATTTTTTTTTTAATTTTTAAATTTACAACAAAATTTTTTCTAATTTCAGAAAATCATATACAATCATATCGGTTACTTGAATTTTTTAATTTTTTTATTTTATATATTTTTGTAAAGAAAACAAAATTTTTTTTCTTAATAGTCTTATGAACGTGGACTTGGCGCGATTTTTTTACAGTGAAACTGTTTTTATTCGGATTTTAGTATTTTTTGTAATTATAAAAAAAATTTACAATTAGTACAAATTTAAATCTCGCGTTGGCTGCATTTTTATAACAAACTATTCCCTTGAAGCTACAGTTTATGTAAAAATAATTCCAGCGCACCCTGGCAGGTGTAGACACAAGCTGTGAAATATCTTTTTTTAACTGTAGTTTCCCATCTAATGAAGGATTATTATGCATTCTCGAATTATTTAGTCTGTGGCAGATCACTTTGCCCATTGAAAAAAAGTCAGGATCGAAATTTTTGCGTTGCTATAGTTTGTGCTGATTAAATTTAATAATTTCAAGTAGATTAATTGTTATAATTAAATATAATTAATTAATATCAGTAAAATAAAGTATGAATTACTGTTATAATATAAAATTTAGGAAAAAAAATTACCGTAGAATTAAATAAAATTTTGCAACCTCGAAATACCGTTCTGCTTACAGTAAACACACTCGGTAGTCTGGCGCTCCGTTTACAACGGATTTGAACGGAACTTGGCGCCAGATTCTACCGAATCTGTGGATATAAGAAATTGACTGTTGCATTTTTTAAGAGCCGGTCCCTATGATTACAGCTTTTGATTGCTCGTCTAAATAAAGAAGATTTTCGAAAAAAACGCTCACCTACGTAATAGATTTTTTAATTGTCTATTTTATAGCTGAGCGTTTTTTTCGAAATTCTCATTTGTTTAAGAGAAAAAACCAAAACTGCAGTTAGCTTTATCATCACGAGTGCAACAAGGATAGTACCGTTTCTCGCCGTGAGTGCGACGCGAGAAAAAGACGGGATAGGCACTAAACTAATAAATAATCAACATTTGTAAAAAATAGTTAATTTTCATCAAAACACAATATTAAATAACAAATTATATAAATAATAAACCGTCACACTTCGTCACCATATAGATTTAGCTTATGAGAATAATGAGATGTGCATCAACTAATCGGTCGTACAGTGTAGAGGTTAGTTATCGGTCTGACAAGCGCGCGGCTCGGGTTCGAATCTCGGTTAGAACGGATACGATTTTCATTTTATTTCTATAACTAGCTGTTACTCGCCCGCTCCGCTGGGCACTTAAAATTGTATTTAGTATCGAATAGAATTGTATTTCTAGATCTAGACTTGAAATTTAATTGGAGTCTTGTTTTGACTTGCATAAATTCCAAATTTCATCGGATTGGCCTGTACCTTTTATCCATGTGATTATTCTAGCTACTATTCATTGTAACTTTCAATGTGCATTCACTATAACATTCCCGTGGCTATTTTTCAAAAATGAATAATAATTGACATGAAAAAAAAAAATATTTAAATCGGTTGACCTTGACATCCCTGCAATTTCCTGTTTTTTTTAAGATTCTATCAAATTTTATATCTGTAGGAACTGTATTTGAAGAATATGAATTTTTCGACAATTATCACTCCCGCACTCTTATGTTGGGGAAGAATTTCGTAAGATCCTATTCGAGATGATTTCTATATTATAATTATAAGGTTCCGACAAAAATTTTAGTCCATTGAAACTATTGTTTGAAAATGAGAGATTTTCATTGTTAACGCCCCCGCAATCCCTTTTGGGGTTACAATTCGAGAAAATCCATCCTTAGCTGAACTTGACATTATCCACGAAAATTATTACTAAATTTTTGGAGTCTGTAACCGGGAAAAACGGATTATATCTGGCCATATATATACAGATCTGGCCAGATCTGTTAAGGCAGATCTGGCCAGATCTTTAAATTGTCTCTATCTGACGAGATCTGGCCAGATATAATCAGATCTGACCAGATCTGGTCAAATTTTAAAATTGCCCATGTAAAAATGATTATATATAATTATATATACTCATACATAATTATATATGAAAAATTGCCATATATAATTATATCTGGTCAGATCTAAACCGTTTTCCCCGGGTAGAAGTTACAGTTTGGAAATTAAAATTTTAGATTTTAACACCTACCCCCGCGATTTCTATCGGGAGTAGACTTTATTGAAATCCATTTTGAGATGATCTCTACATGAGAAATAAAATATTCCTATCAAATTCGGAGTTTTTAGAGGCTATATTTCGAAATTACAATTTTTTATTGTTAACACCTACCCCCGCGATCCTTATAAGAGGTGGTTCGTCGTAAAATCCGCTCTTAGATCATTTCTATATCAGATATAGATAACTCCTACCAAATTAGGTGACTATAGGAGCTATGGCTTGGAAATTAAAAATTTTAATAGCTAACACTCACCCCCGCAAACCCCTGTGAGGTGAGCTATCATAAAATTCATTCGTATATTATTTCTACATCTCTTACAGAAAATTCCTAATACCCAATTTGGAGTCTACAAAGCTATAATATAAAATCAGGAATTTTTCATTGTTAACACCCCCGCAATCGTTTTTGGGGTGCGATACGGTAAAATTCGTTCATGAATTATTTCTACATCACATATAAAAGTCAGCTACCAAATTTGGAGCGGGTAGGACCTATAGCTTAGAAATTTAAAATTTTCATTGTTAACACCCACCCCCGCAATCCATATTGGGAATAGGTTGTCATAAAATCTGCTCTTAGATCATTTTTACCTTACAAATAGCAAATTCTTACCAAATTTGGAGCATATAGAAGCTACACCTCAGAAATTAAAAATTTTCATTGTTAACACCCACCCCTGCAACTCTCCGTGGCGTGAGCTATCGTAAAATTTGTTCATAAATTATTTTTACATCACTCATAGAAAATTCCTATCAAATTTGGAGTCGATAGGAGCTATAATGAAAATTAAAAATTTTCATTTTTAATACCCACCCCCGTAACCCCCTGTGGAGTGGGATATTATAAAATTCGTTCATAAATTATTTTTACATCACTTAAAGAAGATTCTTACCAAATTTGGAGTCGATAGGAGCTATAGCGTGAAAATAAAAAATTTTCTTCGTGAATACCCACCCCCGGAACCCCCTGTAGGGGTGGGATATCGTAAAATTCGTTCATAGATTATTTCTACATCTCTAACAAAAGATTCCTACCAAATTTGGAGTCGATAGGAGCTATAGTTTAAAAACGGGAATTTTTCATTGTTAACGCCCCCGCAAACTCCTTTGGGGGAGGAATTTCTTAAAATCCGTTCTTAGCTGACCTCTACATGGCAAAAGTAATATCTCTACCAAATTTCAATTCTCTAGGTCATATAGTTCCAGAGATATCGTGATGAGTTAATCTATCTATAGAACAGCTCATATATATATATATATATAGATTGGCAACAGTTAGGTTAAAATTTACTTTACTTACAAAATAAAATAAAAAAATAACACCCCAATAATTCTTTTTTTTATCAAATGGCATGGACCAAACTTGAAAATTAATTATGGCTCAGCCCTGGTAACCAGGCATGGACCAGTCCTGGTAACCAGGCTTGGCCCAGAGTTTTACATAGTTGGGCCAAGCTAGGCCCCGTGCAACTTTCCTCTATGGAATAATTTGGACCGATTCGGACTAGTAGATTTTGAGGAATCTCAAAAAAACTAAGAAAAAAAATTTTTTCAAATGTGGTTTTTTCTGGATAACTTTTAAATGAACGATTCCAAGAATATCGTTCTATGAAACTTCTATCAGACTTTGAGCTCGAAGAGCTCAAATGCATAGTAAAGCTATCTCTTTGAGCTCAGCGAGCTCAAAACAGCACATAAATTGTATTTTAAGCTCAAGAACGTCATAAGTGCAATTTTAATCGCCTAAGTATGGAATTAGCGGGAAGTTACAGGGATGGCCTTCAGGGTCAACCGTTTTCCTAATTTTTTGGAATAACTTTCAAACGGCTTTATCAACCAACTCCAATAACTAATCAGCTCTCAACCTTAAAAAACTACGTCAATCGCTTCTAATCCGGTCAA